GACCTTCAGTACATGTACTATAGGATACAAACTCAGTCTATCCACCAACATCGTAGAAAAAATACCGGGATTGAGTGCTCTGATTAATCTCAAAATCCTCTCCTTGGCAAGAAAACTACATCAAATCCTTCTCAGGCCTTGAAGGTGTAGGTGACACCTTTGAGAAGTTGTGGTTCTCCTATAATTTGATTGAAAAAAAAAGGTTGTCAGATATTGAAAAAAAAAATGCCGTCGAGTAGATTGTCTCTATACTTCATATGCCTTCGTTGGAGGTGATTAGGTAGTTAGTGTCACTTAGGTATGATGAATCTTCACCTCTGCATATCAACTATCTGAAGCAAATCTACCATATTTCTGTTTCCATGTCGGATGTTAGGGAAATATGTGTGCTTATTATGTCTAATAGGTGCATAGTAATGCTGAGATCAGTAACTTCCTAATAATAGAAGGTCTTTCACTGACAGCAAGTATGCAATAATTTACAACCATTTGTCGTAGACAAATTCCAACCTACAACTTTTATCCCCTCCAATGTCTGAAAATGAGCACGAATCTCTGAATCGTTGTAGCACTATGTTCCAGCGATTTTATTTCTGCCGCCTCTGAATCAAATTTCTAAAGCTACGACTACCTTAAGGATGGAAGCATTAAACTCGCGATAATTATCGACAACAAATTTTTAGTTCTTTAATTGTATCTTGTGGGAAAAGTGCACTTCTTGTTAATTTTGGGGCGCTGAATCCAAAAATGACGATGAAATAAAAAATTAGTTGCGGTTTAGAAAAAAAAACTTTTTATTTTTAAGGATATATTAAAAAAAGTAACAAGATTCACATACTTATAAGAATCACTATATGCGCTGTCTTTTTGCTGTTCTTTTATGGATCGTTTCTGGAGCATTTTCTACCAAGAGTCCAACAGTAGTCTGCAAGCATGGAGGATTCCACTTTCCCTGGTACCTTTTTCCCATTGTTGAAATATCCTGATGAAAACGTTCGCCGTGCTCATCGCTTACGGCTCCGCAATTGTCAGGAAAAAAGTCCAGGTGTGAGTGTAGGAAATGTATCTTAAGAGACATATTACAGCCCAACTTTTGATACGATGACAGCATATTTTTGACAAGGGTTTTATAGTTGTCAGCTTTTCTATTTCCCAAGAAATTAGTGACCACCAGACGGAAATCATTCCAAGCAGTTTTTTCAATACCTGTTAAAGTGTTTTCAAACTGTGTATCTTTCAAAATATTTCGAATCTTTTACCTTTGCCTCACTTAGTCTTGGAAATTTCTGACGCAGGTATTGAAAAGCTGACCCATCTCTATCTCATGCCTTGACAAAGTTTTTCATTAGGCCCAACTTGATATGCAGTGGTGGTAATAAATTTTTTTTCGAATCTACTAATGGCATATGCTGTACATTTTTTTGACCTGGCTCTAGGAATTGACGAACAGGCCAGTTTTGTCTGGTGTAATGAAGTGCCTTTGCCCGACTGTCCCATTCACACAAAAACAGCAAAACTTTGTGTAGCCTAGCTGCAGCCCAAGTAAAAGTGCAACAACTTTCAAATCGCCACAAATATGCCATTGGTGCTCATCGTATTTTATGCATGTCAATAGGTACTTCATATTGTCATATGATTCTTTCATGTGAACTGCATACCCTACAGGAAGAGATGGTAAAATATTTCCAATATGCAATAACACTGCCTTTAAACTCAATGGTGAACTGTCTATAAACAATCTCTATTATTCTGGGTTATAGTTTATATTTAAAGCCGCCAGTAAGCCGTTAATGTTACTGCAGAAAACCAAGTTATTCTTCATATTGAAAAATGGTTCTAAGTATTTGTGGCGTTTACGAAAAACACATACCGAAACATCGTCTTCTAACAAGTTCCACTGCTGCAGTCTTGATCCAAGTAACTCTGCCTTACATTTTGGAAGTTCTAAATCTCTTACAAGATCATTTAATTCTGACTGTGTTATTTTGTGCGGTTGGTGGCATGACGTGCTCGGTATAAAATCAGGATCTCTTGACGTTATTGGCATATCTTCTTCCTGACGAATCATTCGATCGCCATGATCTGATTCGTTTTCTGATTCGCAAGTGTAGGATTCTGGGGGTTTTGGAATAGGATTTTCGTCACTGTGAGGCACATGTCTCATCGCAGATGGTATGTTTGGGTAGTTAATAACCGATTTTTTTTTCTTGGACATACCTGTGGCTTGTCCAACACAAGGTACCATGCAAAAGTAACAATCATTAATATGATTTGTAGGCTCTCTCCAAACCATTGGGACAGCAAAGCGCATAGACCGTTTTTTGCCATTTAACCAGCTCCTCAGACTTGAAGCACATGTATTACAGCAGATGTGGGGTGCCCACTGTTTGCCTTGATCACCTAGTTTACAACCGAAATAAAGCTGATATGCCTTTGTTATTAGTGGAGTAATAGACCGTCTCTGAGACGCAAAAGTCACATCACCACACACGTAACAAAACTGATCTGGATTGTTTACACACTTTCCAGACATCTTGCATGAACGCTGTCAACCAACTGAGGAAAAAATGGCTATTATAAAACAATATAATGTACACGTATGTATAACGTAACACAATCATGCCGATTACATCATCTTTCCTTGCCGAATATAAACATGTAGCACGTGCATTCTTGTGAATTACAGTATATTAACACTGTCACAGCAGGAACACATATAATTACCGTATCTCTAAAACTTGAACTAATATTGAAAAAATAAGTTTCATTCCGGGTTTAGCACATTAAAAATAGTAATATTTTGTTGATTTTATTTAGGATATTTCTGGGCTGTTGATCAGTGTAATATTCGAACTTCGGTTCACAAGTTTTCTGTTGCTTGAAGATATCTGCATCACACAAGTCCGTGTTTCTCATTTATATCGGCTTGTCAACCCTTGCCTGTTCTATATCAATGCGTCGTAAGTACTGAGTCAATCAACTTGACACTTAAGGATTATAAAATTCGGAAAAATATATGTGTAGATATGAAAAACAGTCAAGTCAGCATTGCTGAAATATATAAAAATTTCTCATGTAGCGGTTTGTCAATGAAGACACCACCGCAGATCAGTTAGAGCTTGTTCCCATTGCACACTCGGCAGGCACGATCATGAAGCATCGCGTCGTGCAGCAACGCCGATGCAAAGTCGAATTTCGAATATTTTCGCGATAACAATACTTCCTCGTCAGTTTGGACTCTGTACATAGGCAGCAATGTGTCTAAAGAATAAAAGAATATGGAAAAGTTCCAGGGTATACCAGCGTTGTAAGGTCTTCTCTTCATAGGCAATCCTTTGACAGATGATATGGAAGAAACGTTATTCACTGTTTCTGGAGAAGCGTTATTTTCATTTTACAATACCTCGTTGTCAGTGTCAGAGGAAGTAGAAAAGTTATTTTCTGGAGAAGCGTTATTTTCAGCTTTGGACAAAAAGGCAGTAGTTTGCAATGCCCACTCTAAATAACAGTATCCGTGCCGTATCTGTGGTCATCGATCTAACCAGTAACCCAACAAGTTACGTAAACCTCCGACCAACCATTGTGGCTACTTCACCGCCTACTTAATAATTCATCCGGTTCATTACAA